CCTCAGGGATGCTGAAAAGCCTCTGACTGCGGCGGGGCGGCGGGGCAGGCTCGGCCTGCTCCAGGGACGCACCTTCCGGGCTCCTGGGCTTATGGCAATCCTTGGGGACAGGGGGGTGACAAATGGCAGCCACGCATGTGCGGAGGGGAGCAGAGGAAGGAAAGAAAACACAGACACATTAGTGGTGGCGGCAAGGCAGGCAGACGCGTGCTTCTGCTCCAGGGCTCGGGGAGCTGGTGGTCACACACAGAGCAAGGCACGGGGGGCGGACAGCGCAGGGGAATGGCGTCACGCGGGACCCGGGAGACAGCTCAGACACAGACGGCAGCTGCAGGGCCCAGTGCAGTGGCCGTGCCGTGCTGGGGAGACAGCGCCCAGTGCCTATGGGATGCCCAGGCGCGGGGCCCTCTTATCCTGCACCAGGAGCCTCTTTCTGCTGCTGTCAGCACCCCAGCTGTGTGAGGACAGGGCTGCTCCTGTCCCCCGTCTGTGGCCCAGGCACGCCAGTGTCCACGGACTGCCCTAGCCAGCCTGCTGTGTGAATGCTGTGTCCTGGTGTCACACTCACTCGCTCCATGCACCGCCATCCCTGGGCCTCAGTCTCCTCAGGTGAGTCTGCGTGCTGGACAGCACTCCCCATGGGAGCCTAGGCTCTGTACTGTGGGCAGGGTCTGCCGTGTGTGTGTGTGTGTGTGTATGTGTGTGTGTGTGTGTGTGTGTGTGTGTGTGTGTGTGCGCGCACGCGTCGGGATGGTTATGCCTAGGGATGTCGCTTTCACCATGTGAGACAGGACAATGACACAAAGCTGTCCCCAGGACAGGCAGGGCAGGTGCATTGGACAGCAAGCAGGTAGTGGGGTGCATGGGCAGGGCAGGCTCTCAGCACAAAGGGGACCTGCGGGCCGCGTGGGAACCAGACCTCTACGCCATCACATCTCCAGCCCATGCCAGGCAATTTAGAGCAACCCCTGCCTGCCACACCCAGAGGCGCTGCACTGAGACCCCACTTCCAGAGCATTGTTGGGATCAGGCGGTCACCCTGGGGCCTTCTGTCCAGGCCTCCTGGGGGAGAAGGCCACTTCCAGTCTCTGTGAAAGCAGCCTCAAGAAGGGGGACCACGCAATGCCCTTCACCTCTGTGCACTGGCACAGCAGACATGAGGGAGGGCACTGGGGATGCCACCTGGGCTGGTGGGGTGGGTGGGCTCAGGGCCATGCGGGTCCGCACAGGGCTCTGGCATGTCCCAGCACACGAGAGCATGGCCAGTAGGGCTGAGCAGGGTGGAGTGTCCCAGCATTCCGCATGCGTGCTCTGTGCCAGACTGGGCGCTGAGCTGGTCCTGCACAGTCCCCTCTGAGGCCCCTCCATCCCCAAACCAGCCCATGGCCCTCCAGCTGCCTGGTCCTATGCCTACAGCAGCAAGGGAGCGAGGTCCCCAGAGCCCTTAGGCTGTGCAGCAGCCCCTCCTGGGCCTCAGGGTGGACAAGCACCCAGGATGGACTCGGTCTCTTCCATTCAACTCCCGCTACAGAGTGCGCCTGGGTTCCCACAAACTCCTGCACCCAGCCCATCCCACAGAGTGGCCAGGACCTCCAGGGACTCCTGCAGCAACTTCAGCAGTGAGAAGGAAGCAAGTCCAAGTCCACAGCCTCTGGCACAGGCAGGACCTGGCAAGGCCCCATGTGCTCCCCAGCCCGCGTCCCCCAGCCCTGCCACTCACCTTGAGGGCACTGTGCGAGGCACTGCTGGGCCGCCGCCGGCCACCATCTTCCAGCTGCATCTCTGAGTAGAGCTCCTCCTCGTCCTCCTCCAGAATGTCTGACAGGTCTGAGCCCCGGCTGCTCTCTGTGTGGTACTCATCTCCATGGCAACAGTGGGACTGTACAGGGACAGAAGCAGAGTGAAGGGATGGCTCCTGACCCCAAGGATGGGCAGACTAGTGTGAGAGGTCAGACTCGTCCCATCCCATTGACAGGCAGGCGGTTCTCCCAGCCCCAAAGGTGTGGGTGGGACAGGGACCCGGGGGCTGTAGTGTATTGCACTGGGTCCCACTCTGCACTGCAGGGCAGAGGTGGGGGCACCCAGCATGGGGATCACCTGTCAGCTTGGGATCCACCCAGCATGGGGGCACTCACTCCTGGGCATCTGGTGGGCCATGGAGGCATAATCCTGGTGACTATCTGGTCCCTGCCCCTTCCTCTCTGGCTCTGTCCCCCACTCTGCTTCCATGAACTGAGCAACTTTCCCTCCCCACTCCCTTCTGCCTTGATCTCCCTGTCTTGGAGCAGCTGACCATGGACTGTACCCTCTGAAACCGTGAGCCAAATAAAGTCCTCCTTTAAACTGTAGTGCCGGGTATTGTGTCCCAGCATGGGAAAGTGACTAAGGTGCCAGCACACAGTCAGTATCCAGCAAATGTTGTTCCACCAGTGGGCACGAACCCCCAGCGAACCTGGTGGGTACCCGTATCTGACCCTCCCTGTTCTGACTCAAAGACCTGCTCAGGCCCAGCATGCTGGAGGAGTCTCTACACATACACTTCGATGCTGGCCCCAAACAAGGCGACCCAGCCTCTCCTTCAGTGCTGGCGACACCGCAGCTGGGCCGGCTGCTCCTCTCTTCCCCGCGTCCTGGGCCCCAGGCCTGTGCAAGGCCACCATGGCCACCAGCCTCACCTGCCTGCCCAGCTCGGACCCCTTCAGGAAGTCATCCACAGAGGGGCCCCTCCTCTTGAGCTCAGGTGAAGCATAACCACCCTCCTCGTCCGAGTTGGCGTATGGCCCCACGCTGTCCCTCTCCAGGAAGAGGCTCCTTTTCTCTAACTTGGAAAGAAAAGGGGACGGGGTGAGCGGGGCAGCTGGGGGATGGTGCTTGGGCCCAGTGCTGTGCAGGACAAGGTGGCCCACACACCGGCCCCTGCAGGTCCCTCAGGTGACCAGCAGCCTGGCTGTACCTCCTGAGTCCTTCCCTCCCTCGGTGCCAGGAGCCACTCTAATGGGACTCTGCTCGCCCTCCTTCGCCTCTTTCACCCACTGTGATTCCATCAACTAGCAGGTCTTGTTGTGGCTGATAGCCTTTATTTTATTTTTTTATTTTTTTAATTTTTTTGCAGTACTAGGGATTGAACCCAGGCCCTTTACCTGTGATATATCCCTAGCCTCTTTTTTAAACTCTTGTTTTGATATAGGGTCTCTCTAAGTTCCTAAATTGCTCAGGCTGGGCTTGAATTCTCAATCCTGCCTCAGACTGCTGGGATTACAGGCCTGCACCACCACGCCCAGCCAATGAACATGGTCCTAAGGCTAACGCTCTGGTCCCAGCTGCATGCAGCCCCAGGCCCCCAGGGGCCTCTCCACCTGCCAGGAGCTCTGAAGTTGAAGGACACAAGTTCATGGGCTGCGGCTGCCTCAGAGGGCAAACTGAGGCTCACCCCAAGTATCTGGGCACCTTGTGGGGAGGGGTCCGGCCCTGCACAGCTGGCCGGTGACCCCTCAGTGTGCACACCAGTCTGGAGTGTGGTCCCACCACAGTCCTAACACACGGCTGGAAAGCTCCACACAGCAGTGTGCAAACTGGAGCACAGATGCACAACCGCATGCAGCTATGCTTGCGGGGACATGGGAGGTATGATCCAAAGCAGAGGTGGTTTAAGTGAAAAGTTTTATCCTCACAGAACACACATTGCCATTGATCTGCCTCGAAGTAACTCCCCTGAACACTCATCCCACCGTCCTTGCTGCTTTCTGCAGCAGCTCTAGACTCTGCTTTCCTCAGGGTCTTTAGATGCTCTTGCTGGCTGCCTCAATGTCCTGAATGGATTCAAAACATCTATCTGGGGGCCAGGGATTTAGCTCAGTGGGATTTAGCTCACCACCTGCCTCACAAGCACAAGGTCCCGAGTTCGTTCCCTGGTACCAAACAACAACAACAACAATACATCTCCCTCTCATGGTCATTTTGACCCTGGGGAAGAGCTGGGGGTCACACAGTGCCAGATTCGGTGAGTAAGGTGGATGAAGACACAGCATCGTGTTATTTGATGGAAATATTTATAAACACTCTGAATCAACAGGCTGAGCGAACCTGAAGTAGGGTAGATGTTGAAGGGGTTCATGGGTCTTTCACTGTGATACCCTTTTCAGGTTTTAACTTAAATGGTCTCTGCACGTTCTGATCGTGCCTCAGGTGCACACGTCTTGAGGAGGTGCACATAATTGTGAGGGCTCTACCTGCACACACGCACACACACGTCTACACACACATGCACATGCTCACACACACGCATGGGTGCTCCAGCTGGATCCCTAAGTGAGCAGCACCCAGGGTGGTCCTAGGCCACTGTGCAGCACGTGGCTATCAGACCTGTTGGCCGGGGCCACACTCACTTCCCTAGACTCGGCTGTCGTGTGCGGAGCAGAAGCACAAGTGGTCCCATCGGGCCCAGCACAGTTGAATGTGGTGCCCTGCCCAGCTGTGGTCTGTGTGGAGAGCGCTGCCCCCGCTGCACGTGCCCACACCCTGTGCAGAGGGACAGAGGGGCCCTGAGGGGCCCAGCTTACCCTGGTGCTCTCGGCCACCCTTTGTGCAGCCTCACGGGCCATGGCCTTGGCCACAGAGGTGGACACAGGGGTGCCCTGCGGCTGCGGGAGGATGCGGCTCGGGGAGGGTGACCTCCGCCCGGGGCCAGCACCCTGCAGGCTGGGAGGCTCCAGCAGGTTTCCGTGCCCAGGGCCTGGCATCCGGCTCTGCTCCCAGGGCTCCGCCTTGGTGTGGACACCCAGGTGCTCGTCTTTGGTATCAGGGGCGCTGGCTAACGGCTTCGGAGGGGGCACCACCCTGGGCACTGGGGCTGGAGGCACCAGGAGGTCAGGGGGGATGGCAGCGGGGGCCGAGTCGGCAGACTCGCCCTGAGCAGAGAGGGTCCGCACAGTCACGGCCCTGGCCTCCAGGCCTCGCAGCCGCCCGAGCTCCACCTGGGTGCTGTCTGCAGTGGGGAAGACGACCTCGGCGACCTGCACAGAGACAAGGCCAGCTGACGGCCACCCAGCATCCCACAGTTTGGAGGGACAGGCTGGCCACCCGCTCAGGTGTCCCTCAGCTGGAAGCCCAGGAGTCTAGAGTGGAGGACAGACAGTACCAGGCCCTGCTTCTACCTTCGGAGCAACTTGAGGCCAGAGGTGTGCACAGGGCACTCGGGAGGCCAGAGAGCCCCAGGCAGGGGCACCACTGGGCACTTCCTTGTAGGAGACAGCTTAGCACCCACCCATGCCCGTCCGACTGGACTACTGCTCCTGACGGAGGACTGGATTGGGACAGCAGGTGGACAGGAGATGCTGCTCCGGCCTTTACTGTGCCAGGTGGGTGGGGGCTGAGACAGCAGACACCTGCCTCCTAGAGTCAGGGTCTGGTCACCCCTGCCAGGACACCAAGGAGGAACCCTGATGCTGGGGTCCAGTTCAGAGTGGAGTGGGCCATGGTGGTAGGGTGCTGGACCCAGGACAGGCCAGGCCTCAAGAGGTGGGCCCTGTGTGCAGCACAGGTGGCCTTACACAAGTGCTGGAGGCTGAGGATCTGACCTTCTCCTGTGCAGGGAGTGGGTAACCCATACTCCACTGAGCCTGTCTCTGGTCATAGGCCCACAACCCAAGCCACTCACCCGCTGCCCCTTGGCGTACACGCCGTAGCCAGTGACATTTGCTCCACTGGACAGCCCGGTGGGGGTCAGTGCAGGTGGCTTCCAAGAGATCTGGACAGTGGCTGCTGTGACTCCAGCTTGGACAGCGACATCTTGTGGGGGCACTGGAGGACCTGAGAGGAACAGAAGGAACAGAGGTCTTCAGGGCAGGGCCGGCCCGGGGCCATTACTGCTCTGTGGCCACCTGGAAGACAGATGATGCTTTAACATCAGAGGAGGGGACACGTGACGAGAGACAGCAGAGGTGGTGGCACTGGTAAGTGCCAGGATGCAGGACCCACAAGTGACAACTACTCACTTCCTCCGGGAAGAGTGCCTGTGCTCTCTGGTTCTCCAGTCCCCTCTGCCCAGGGACAGGCAACCGATCAACCAGGGACAGCTTGGGGAGAGCATGCAGATGCACAGGGGAAAGGGTGCCCCATTCCCTTGCTTCTGTCCCTAGAGCTCTCCCTTTCATTCTTCATCAGATGTCAGAGACAGCAGGCCTGGGCCTCACATCTCCAAGTGACCACCCCATGCCCTGAGCAAAGCAGAAAGCCAGAGGGACTCTGGGTCCCATGGGGCTGCTGGGTTCCACGTCCATCTTCACAGAGCTCCCTGGCTGACTGCTTCCTCGGAGGCCTCTGTGTAAACTCTGCTCGCAGAGTCATGTGCAGCTAATTCAGGATGCAGGTGAGCAGTGGCCATGTTACTGGGCATGCAGGTGGCTTCAGGGACAGTAGTGGCCAGCCCTGCCTGGACACCCAAGGGAGTCACCTTCTCTCCAGGCTTAGGACAAATCCTCCATGCCTCCCACTAGAAAGTGCTGGTCACCGCCCTATGGAAGGAGTGCTGTGGCCTCTGGAGCAGGGCTCTGAGCACACCTGTGCTGCGACAAAGCTCTCCCAGCCTTCTTCATGCCCTGAGTCAGAAGCTGAGCCCACCCTGCTTAGGACACGACTCAGACACCAGCGGCACCCTCCCCACTGCGACCACCACCTGCTCCTCGCATGACACAGACACAGCCACTGCTTTTGTTCCATGACCACGACAGGCAGCTGCTTCTGCCCAGAACACAGCTGAAGGCAACACCATGCATGGCTTCAAATGTGAGTGCAGAGACTGAGGGCCTGGTGCAAACTCCAGGCCCTGACAATTGCCGCTCATAAACTGGACCCGACTCAGCCTCCCTACCCCTCCCCATCTTATCTGCAAGGTAGACGCGAGGTAGCACCTAGAAGTAATGAGATCACCGTCATTTTACTCCAGGTCACACAGTGGACCATGGGCAGAGGCAACAGCACAAGTCCTGTCGCCCTTCCCCACCCTCACATGACCCTCCATGCTCTCCCCTGTCTGGTTTCCTGGCAAGGAGAGGATGGACAAAAGACAGATGTAATGGGTGGAGAGAGAGAGGACTGCAAAGAGCAATCATATTAACTAGGAAGGAATCAAATGAAAATCCTAGAGCAGAAAAATACACTTGGCAAAATTTTTTAAATTTATGTGACGGTCTTAACAGCAGATCGGGCTCACAAAAGAAAGAATCTGTAAATGTGAAGACAGAACAATAGAAATGACCCTAACTGAAGCACAGGGGGACAACAACATAGTAATAACAAGGGGTTTGTACCTCTACAAGACAACACCAAACACTCCGACCAGCATACAATTACAGTCTGGGAAAGAGAAGTCAGAATAAGACAAAATCTATTTGGGGCTCTGTTTAAAATGTGAAGCATAGCACCAAGACTCAGAAGTCTAAGTAAAAACTGGAAAAGGATAAAATAAACTAACACACGGGCACATCAGACTCAAGCTCCTGGACATCCAAGATAAAGGTAAAAAGGGTTCAAAGCATTTGGTAGCAGTGACAGCCAACACACCACAGAAACAATGAAGGCCACACACAGTGGAATGGGGCACCTGGAGGGCTGGAAGAAAATAAAACAAATGGAGATGAAATTCCATGTTCCTTAGATAAACAAAAGAAGACTGAAAGCTGTTCTAAAGGAAATCCTTCAGACTAAAAGGAGACAGTAACAGATCAAAATGTGTACCTACACAGATCAAAATGTGTACCTACAGCAGCAATAGAAAGGGCAGGAGAAATGGTAAATGTGAGATGATTTTTCCAAATTCTTCAAGGCAAGCAAGAATTTAAATAAAATATCCTAACAGTATCTTGAGGGAACTGTAATGTGCAAAAGTAAGGTATATAAAAACAATAGCAAGACCAAAAGAGGACAAATGGAATCATGATGTTATACAGTTCTTTCACAGCAAATAATTGGTGCGTCATTAGCCTAAGGTAATTTATAGTGGTTAAGTATGCATGATCTGCTACCTAAAGCAGTCTCAAAAAACCCACAATGTGTCATTTCAAAGAAAAGATAAAAAGAGGACAGAATATAAAAAATAACCCAAAAGAAGGCAGAGAAGGACAAGCTCATGAAAAGAGCCAATGGGATAAATTAAAACAAAGAGCAAGATGGTAGACTTGAGTCATGTCAGTGACCACACAGAGAGTACGAAACATTCCAAGTCAAAGGCAGGGACTGTCCAGCTTGGAAGGCAGCCACAACCCAGTGACAGACTAGATCTAAGAGACACACTTACAGTACAAAACACAAAGGGTTTGAACGCAAAGGTTAGATCAAGATGCGGGCAAGAGAGACACAGGATGGGCTGGGGAACTTAGCTCAGTGGTTCCGCTACCTGCGTCACAAACACAAGGTCCCAAGTTCGAATCCCGGTACCCAAAGGTGGGGGGCTCAGGACAAGAAATGACCAGAGACAAAGAGAACTCTGCGTGTAGAGAAGAGCTCACTCCAGCGGTTTTAAGTGTGCCTGCTGCTGCCAACAGAGCTGTTACACAGCATGACCCAAGCACGATGTATCCATGCCAGGCCAGCCCTGCAGAACACACCTGCTCTTTCAGTGATGCCCGAAACTCACCAAAGAGGACCAGTGACTCCGCACCTCCAAGGTGACGCTTCAGAGAATATTCTGTCCACCCCAAAATAACTAAGCCCTCAAATATTTAGAAATTAATCAACTTGCAAATAAACATGTAAATGTGCATGAAGACCCTCTGCTACTCTCTGCAAGAAATAAGAAAATACTAGAAACTCATGATAACAGAAAGGGAATGTATTATATATCGTGGACTATGATTAAATATAAAAGTATTTATAAGTCTAAATACTTATATTAGAAAAGGACAGTTTTAAATAAGTGATTAAGTTTTTGCTTAAAAAACATAGAAATTGAAGAGCAAGTGAAACCCAACATCTATAGAAAAAGTAGACATAATGAGTGTAAATCAATGACATAAAATTATAATAGAAAACTCAACCAAGCAAAAAGTTGCAGTTTTGAATACATTAATAAAATAAATTCATCTTTTTGAAAAGAAGAGAAAGCATAAATTACCACCAAAAACTCCAGAGAAGACATTGCTATACATCCAAAGACACGTAAAAGTTCATTACAACACTAGGAATAATTTTATAGGAAAAATTAGGCTGTTCCCACAAAAGGGGAAATTACTTGAAGAGCTACTTACCCAAACTGAGAAGTGAAGACACAGAAGCACCTGAATAGCCCTAAATCTACTAAATAAATTGAACTTGGAATTTAAAACATTTTCACAGAGAAAATGCCAGGCCTAAGTGGCTTCACTGATAAATTCTATCAAACACGAAGGCCAGAAGGAACACTGATATTATGAGATTTCTTCCAGATAGTAGCTGATGACAAAAGCCACAGTTCTCCAGACCCACACACAGCCCCAGTACCAAATGGAAAAAATAAACGCCCAACATAGGAAAGAAATGGAATCCATAAAACAGATTCAAACAGATATCCAGGAGATTAAACACTCTATTGAAAGTGTACGCAACAGAATAAAAGAATGCGAAGATAGGCTCTCAGATATAGAAGATAAGATTGCAGTCAGTGACCGTGAAAAGAGAGGTCTCTTAAAAACAGTAAGAGATCATGAGAAATTGATCCACAACTCCTAGATGATGGAAAGAAGAATAACATAAGACTGATAGGAATCCATGAAGTAGAAGGAGAAAATACAAATGACTTAAAAAAGCTGTTCACAGAATTAATGACAGAAAACTTCCCAAACAGAGGGGAAGAATTTGACATTCAAATAACTGAGGCATATAGGACCCCAACTAGCTACAATCAAAAAAAAATCTATACCTAGATATATAATAATCAAGATCCCAGAAACCCAACAGAAGAACAAAATACTACAAGCAGTAAGAGAAAAGAAACAAATCACATACAAAGGAAAGCCCATCAGAATCACAGCAGACTTTTCAACACAAACCCTTGGGGCAAGGAGAGCCTGGAATGAGATATTTCAAGTACTAAAAGAGAACAACCTCCAACCTAGACTGATGTATCCAGCAAAACTCTCTTTCAAAATGGAGGGGGAAATAAGACACTTCCACGACAAAGAACACCTGAGAAACTACATGAATACCAAACCAGCACTACAAGCAATTCTAAACAAGATCCTAGAAAAAGACAATGAAGGCAACAACACCATGAGGCCCAACAGAGCAAATCAAATAGGCAAGGCAAGAAATTAAAAGGAGAAGGTGAAAAAGTAAAAAGAGTCAACAAAAGGCCAATAACATGTCAATAATAAGTCAGTACATATCAGTTATAACCAGCAATGTCAATGGCCTCAACTCACCAATCAAGAGAAATAGACTGGCAAAATGGAATAAGAAGCAAAATCCAACAATATGTTGTATACAAGAAACACACCTAGTGCAAAAAGAAGCCCATAGACTGAAAGTGAAAAGATAGAAAACAATTTTCCATGTGACAGGGGCCCAGAAAAAAACAGGGGTAGCAATCTTATTGACAGACAAAGTAAATTTCAAACCAAAACTGAATCTAGTATTATTGATGTAGGACAGTACTATATCATACCTCTATGAATGTAAAATATCTAGTACCTGCTTTATGATACATAGTAGGGACTGTGCTTTATCAGAGCTACATTTAATGATATTACTATAGAATGTTCTCTTTCCAGATGATGATTAAGAGGCTAATAGAAAAAATGGTGCCAGGTACCACAGCAGCAACAGAACTTTGCTGTTGTCTGGATATTATTCTTTTCTTTGGTTTTTTTTTTTTTTAATGGAATGCGATGAATGTCTATAATTTTGTTCAGACGACTGCAGAACCTGGAAAAGCTGTTGCTGCTATCTATGCATAACATACTATTATTAGTCTTTATATATAAATACACACACACACACACACACACACACATATATATAAATTGAATTTTGGGAAACTTTAACGGTGCTGCCAACTTTGGAAAAAGTCATCCCAATTTACTGTGTTGACTTGGCATTGTACATAAATGGACAACCATATTGGTCTAGAAATGTTAATTTATTTTTTTCCATGTGTACAGGGATAACACATCATACTAAATATGTAAGGTCATATCTACGTGGGTTTGATTACAGAAACTAATAAAGTATTCTCTAAATAATGAAAAAAGAATAAGATAAGACTATAAGAGTGAGAGGCAATTTAAATATGTTCAGGGACCATTTTCATCTCCAGAATTAAGGATTATTTTGATGTTACATCATTGCCTTTTCTCTTTTACTTTCCTTTTTTTATTTTAGGATTCCCTATTTTTAATGTTCATACAGAGATTTCTTTAAATGAAATACCGAATAGTTTCTTTGGTGTGAAAAACTGTAATAGTACACAGGATCCTAATGAGACAATTAATTATGTGAAATAGGAAGTAAAGGGCTAAAGGTGTAAGGAAAGTGGGAAGGGTGGGGGAAAGGTAATAAGGGAGAGGAAAAAAATGTGAGAAACTGAAAAAATGGAAATAAAGTGTTTGTAAATGGGGAGGGGAGGAGAGGGTGGAGGGAGGGCAGGGACAAGGGGAAAAATGAGAATCAAGACCTATTATGTAAAGGTACAGAATCCCAATGATGAATGTAGTTGTATTGTATACCTACATTGTACCAATAACCTCAATAAAAAGAAAAAAAAAAAGGTTTTCTCTCATATGAGCAATCCAAAGCATAAATAGAGCCAAACAAAAGGTAGACCAAAGAAAACAGGAAGATCCTTCCAAATAGGAAGGAAGTGTACATGCACCAACTCCTGACGATGGAAGTACATGGTCACTTTGGATCACAAACAGGTACTCATAAAACAATAGTAATAACAAATGATAAGGGCTGGGATGTAGCTCAGTGGTTCTGCCACCTGCCTCATGAGCCTAAGGTCCCAAGTTTGATCCCTTGTACAAATAAAAACAAAATAAATAAATTATACAGACATACCAAAGAACTCCCGATTTACCGCACAGATGTCAAGGTGTCTTCCTGTCCCCCGTTCCTTGTGCCCCTCCTCCTGGGCACACAGACAAGACGGTCCTACCCGTCAGAGGTGGGGACATCGGGAACCCTTCAGAGCCCTCACGGGGCTCCTGCCCTCCCCACATGGGTTCCACTGTGAACTCCACATCCTCCAGGACCCACCCACAGCAGACTAATCCGAAGGTTGAATGTTGTTGGGAAACGATCGGGAAACAAACAGTGGGATGGTTGGTGACTCTGACCAAAAGGCTCACACTGGACTGAATTAATCCAGCGGGACGGACTAGAGGTCCAGCTGGGACAGTGTGGACCGGTGCTCACAAGGCTAACACAGCGTCACACATGAGGGCCTCAGTCTCAGGGTGCGCTGTTGTGAAAGCAGCTCAGAGGGCCAGCTCCTTCCCCGGCCGCCGCGTGTGCCTGAGGGACTGGACTGGCACCCTGTCCCTCCCAAGGCAGCACACTGGAGCCATTTACCACCGCAAGCAGAGGGATGCTCTGCTGGACCCCAGGTGGTCCTGCTTACTCCACATGGTGTGCATGCTAAAAGTCACAGACCTCGAGGGCAGGACAGTGAGGAGAGGGCGTGAGCCCCACGCAGGCCCCACCGCACGTGTGGGGTGGGGAGGATGTCACTCACCCGCCCTGCACAAGTGCTGAAGGAACATTGTTCCTGGTGCCACCCATGGCACACTTGCATGCCTGTCCCTAGCACATTCTTGTGCACCATGCTTGCCCCAGCCTGTGCTCAGGACACCGTGGGGAAGGCGAGCTCCGGCTGCTCCCCCAGGCCCAGGGTAGGACGTGCTCACCTGCAGGCAGTGTGGAGAACTCCACTAAGGCCTCCTTCTTCTCCCGCTGCTCCAGAGGAAGCTGCCAGGGCATCTGGTGTGGCCGTGCCAGGACCCGGACCTTGTAGGCCGTGTTGGGCCGCAGGCTGAGGAACTGGTACTTGTAGTGTGCGGCCTGGACCACGTCAAGCTCCTCCTCATTGAGGAAGATGACGTGGCTGTAGTTACTGTTGGTGGGCAGCCAGGACAGCTGCGCTGAGACCTGCGTGACGCTGTCCACCCGCAGGTGCGAGGGGGCCACCACCACATCCTTGCCCACCAGCAGTGTGCACATCAGAGCGTCCGAGCTGCCCCGGCTGGTGATGCACTGCACGGAGATGCGGTAGGTGTAGGCAGCCGTGTCCAGCTTCTCCACCAGGGCCTTGGTCCTGGTGCCCAGCGGGAGGCTCAGGCGTGGCTCCGTGTCCACCAGCACGGTGTAGCCGCTCACAGCGCCCCAGCCGGGTGGCACGGCCGGGGGCTCCCAGCCCACAATGACGCTCTTGGCGAGCTGCTTGATCAGGGCCAGCCTCCGGGGGTAAGGCACAATGTCTTCTCCAACGTCGTCCAGGTTCACATCCAGTGGCCCCCCGCCATTGCCGGTGACACCCAGGTCCACATGGGGCGGGGAGTGCAGGTCCAGGATGCTTTCACCCTCCATGCCCATGCCCACGCCCATGCCCGAGCGGTTGAGGAGGTTCCGGTCCTGCTCACTGCCCAGGGTGGCAGCCAAGCGCGACTCGCTGTCCTGGACAAAGTCCACGAAGTTGGAGGGTACCAGGCCCCTCTGCCCATCCAGGAGCTCTCCTGTGGGCACAAGGACAGGCATCACAGAGCTGACCCCAGTGCCCAGCAGGACTCGGACAGTGGACCCCACTCTGGGGTGACCCACACCCCTTACTCAGTGACCCCTCAGCTCACAGTGGGGCTTTCACTACCAGGCTCGCCATGCTTCTCTGCCCTGGTGCTGGGTGGGCAGGGACTGCCCCGAGGGCAGGGACTGCGTGCCCCCGACGCCTGTGCTGCTCCGCGGGGTGGATGGACATGGGGCGTCCGGGCTCTGGGACGTGTGTCAGCAGCCTCCCAGATCCCCTGGTCATAGTAGGAGTTAGAGGGCAGTGTCCCTCATCCCTGGAAAGCAACTGCACATGTCCACCCAATGAGAAATGGAAGGTTAGCTTGGTGTCACAACTGTTGATAACTCAAGGGACAGAAACAGCTTCTATCCTGGTGGCAATGGTGGCTAAAGGTGGTGGGTGGGACTTGTGTGCTAGTGAGGCTCACAGGCACTCCATGTACTCCATGGACATGGCAGGGCACCGGGACCCGGGAGGCTGGGAGACCCCAAATGCAGATTCTGCTCTAGCACACCCTCCTCAAGGACTGGAGCACTGCAGCCAGCCTGTGCCCACGTCCACGCCGCAGAGGGCCTGGTGGCCACATCAGCAGCCTTGGGTTCTAACTGGGCAAACAAGAACTTAGAGCCCATCCCTGACCCACCCAGGCATGGGTCTTGAGGTAGCTGATCCTGTGCCCTGGTCAGTCTGACAGCACCCAATGGTGATGGTGGTGATAATAGTAGTGAGATGGTGATGGTGACGGTGACGGTGACGGTGACGGTGACGGTGATAGTAATGGTGGTGATGATGGTCATGGTGGTGATGACGGTGATAGTAATGATGGTGATCATGATGGTGATGGTGGTGGTGGTGGTGATGGTAATGGTGATGATGGTTGTGGTGACAGTGGTGATAGCTAACACTTACTGAGCAACTACCATGCTCCAGGCTCTACCCCAAACATTTCCTATCTAGTTCCTCACTCATCCTCCCAGCCCCACCATGAGGTGGGCTCTATTGCTATCTGCACTCCGCAGCAGAGAAAACTGAGGCTGAGAGATGAAGGGTCTCACTGACCATGGACCCTAAGCATGGCAGCATGCCAAGTCAAAGCACGGTGGGAATGCTGCAGAGATTCCAACAAGGGCTTGGTCTGGCAGCTGTGTTGGGCACGTGTGTCCACATGGGTGTGTAGCTCAGTGGACAGCACACCCAGAGCCAGGCACCGCCTTGAGTTCAACTCCCAGTGCCTGGGTCACTGCTCCTGACATCTCAACAGCCACTGAGGCCCCTGGCGACCCCCAGCCAATGACCCAGTGCCCCTCAATCTGGGGGACACTGTGAGGGGACCCTGTGAGCTGGGAGGGGCAGGAGGGCAGAGTGGAGGCCAATGGCCAGGCCATCAAGAGCCCACAAATCTCCTGCCAAAGCCCCACCCAGAGACCTTCGTAGAAGCCGTCCTCGTCCATGTCCCCGTAGACGTAGAGGTATTTTCCCGCTGCAAGAGGCAGCTCAGCCTCAGGGTTCTCATTGGGCCCATCGAAGGGGTTGTAGCTGGAGAAAGAGCACAAGGTGGGTCAGCTGCCCCTGGTGGGTTGCTCTGCTCTGCTCCCCTGGCAGAAGGCTGGCTCTGCACACAGCTCCTCAACCTGACGCTGGGGGACAAACCCACAGGACACTTGGGCTGCGAGTCCTCAGGCCACCACCCCCTGCTCAGACCAAGGAAGAGAATCTACAGCTGCCGTCCACTCAGAGTCCCCACAGCCGAGGACAGTGTATGAGTCCTGCACAGTGGCCACTTGTCTTCTCCTCCATAACTATGTGTTAACAAGCAAACAGAAAGGAAATGGCTCCTGTAATCGTTACGTATAACTTAGCTAAGGTGGAATCCTCTATGTACTTCTTAGTACTCTGCCTAGTTTGTACCACCATGCAGTAAGCTATATTTCCACCTCACAAAACATTCTACTGTGCCATTTTAGCGGGTGTATAGTATTCTACCAACAAGGTAGCATTTTCCTTGATATTGAGCACTGATGTTGCTCCTGGCTGCTGACCAACGTATTCAGTGCTGCCTCAAATGCCCTTCCACATGTATCTTTGCACACTTCCACAACTTCCCCCCAAAGATAAATCCTAGGAGAAATCTTTGCTTGGTCCAGGTACGGGCATTGTTCAGTCTTGGGTACGTGCTGCCAGCATGCCCTGCAGAGCAGAGTCTCCATCTCCCCAGCCCCATCCCGGGACAGGAGAATGCTCACCCTTCCATCCTCAACACCCAGGGCTAGCATTTGTTAAAATCGTGGCCATAATGCAGTGAACTTGGAATGTTCAAATGACAGGAAAAGGCTTGAGAAGAAAAAAGAAAAGAGGGGCCTGGGATGTGGCTCAGAGGCGCCGCACCTGCCTGTCAAGGACAAGGTCCTGAGTTTGACTCCTGGTACCAAAAAAAAAAAAAAAAATAGAGATAGGACTGCTGCTCCTCCGAGGCACTGGCCCGACCTTGCTGTCCTGTCCATGTTTTAGCTGACTGCCACTAAACTTCAGCCCGGAAAGCAGCACTCTCATTCCCAACCTTTATGGCCCCACCACGGGAGATGAGTTTCCCTAAGTCAGGGCATTGGGGTCGGGGAAGGGGACAATCAGGGCCTCCTGCTGCATCCTGGGCAGTTCTCGCCCGAGTCTCTTCTGTCCTCACTGTCCCAGTCAGGGGGGCAGGAAGGGGGCACCTCAGCCTGGTGCCGAATACTCAGAAGCGACAGCCTGGCCACTACTCCAGCCCTGTGGACCCCGCCTTGCTGTCCGAGCAGCAGTGACAGTGACGGGAGCAGTGGGGAGGCAGCTCCAGGCACCCTGTCCTCCACCCACCCTGTGCAGCCAACAGCCAGACACCAGACCCAGGGCAGAGCTGTGCTGCCTGTCCAAGTTCTCTGGAGCCTTGGCCTGTTCTGCACGTGGGTCACAGGCACAGCCAAGGGCAGAGGCTGCAGAGCCCCTGCAGACCCCGGCTCACAGCTGTGGTCGGCACATGGAGCCCAGGCCACCCCTGTCCTCCCAGTGAAAGACTTGAGGGGACCAGGCTGGCAGCATCAGTTCCCAGGATGGAGCTGCAGGGAGGGCAGACACAGCTGGGTGTGGCTGGAGCCAGGAAGGAGGGGCGAGCAGGAGGACTGTGAGAAGCCCTCCCCAGGGCTGGGACCACGACTCCACCCAGTGACACCCCTTTGCTGCCTACTGTGGGCTGAACCACACCCCCTCTGGGCACAGTCTCTGCAGACTGAGGCGGGGCCTAGCGGTGCAGCCATGAACTGAGGGACACCCAGGCCCCCGATGCCAGCGAAGGCAGTGGGCATCTGTGCCCAGAGCACTTGGGGCCACACAGCCACAGGAGCAAGTTCTGTGAGCCCAGCATGCGTGGCCATCAAGTCCTGGCAGCCCAGATACTCGGGCGCTCTGCAGCTTTGCATAGGAATCTGTTCCTCCCAGAGCCTGCACTGACAGGGGGGCTCCAGGGCTGGTGTCCGCCATCCCGGGCACACTCGGGGTGTGCCTGGGGGCCCTGGGGACCTCATCTGGCCCCTGGCACCTTCCGCTCTGGCATGATCCCACTGTGCCTCCAGGCCCCAAGGGTTGATCCTCTCTGCTCCCCTGACACTTTCCGCCTGGATGCTCTGGCTTGGAGCCAGCATACGTGGGCCTGAGCCTCTGAACCCCAAGCCACTCTGAACCCCACTCTGTAAGAGTGGAGTCACATCTGTGGTCTCAGCAATCAGCGCTTACCTGTAGCGGGCGACACACAGGTGGACCTTCCCCGAGTATCTCCGCTTTGAGGTATTGGAGTTCCGTTCATTGTCCATCTGCAGAGACACGCGGGCATGCTGGGAGGACTTTGCAGTCTGCGCTGTCCCTGCCAGGACTCGGGGGCTCTGGGAAATGGGCCCAGACTGCAGATGCCACAAGGCGGCACCCTGCCCACAGACACCCCGTCTCCCCTGCTCTCAGTGTCAGGTGAGGGAGAGAGCCACCCTCAGCCTCCAATGGTACCTGGCATACGGGAAAGGTGACACAAGGGCCCCAAACCCCTTCCCCTCTCCACCTGTTGTCCCAGGTGAGGGACTGAGCCACCCCACCTCCTTACGTGCCCTACAGCTATTTAGGGATGATTGTGGGGTGAGGAGGGCTGGGCAGACACCGTGGTCCCTGCCCACTGCACAGCCACCTCCACCCGCCTAGAGCTCCCAGCTCAGGCACAGGCGTAAGGACGCTCAGGAATTGACAGGAAGGGGAGCAAGGACACTGGGGAACACAGGTGGGGCATCCACCCAGGGAGGACATAGTGCCAGGTCGGTGGGAGGACTCACATCGGACTCAAATCTGCATCTTGGGCTGCTGGATCGCAATAGAAAGCTGGGCTTGGCAGGCAGAGGCTCTGGCTTGTCCCCGTGGAGTGGGATGTGGTCACTGATCACAGAGTAATGCCCAGCGGGTCCCTCATGACCTGCTGGGGAACATGGGGCTGTTGGAGAAAGGAGACAAGATGCCCAAATCCAGCGGCTGGTCTGCCTGACCCTACTCTGGCCACCCACCCAGCAGTGCCCACCTGGCTAGATGAGTGTTTGGGGCATCAGGAGTCCACAGGATAGGGGTCCAGGCAGAGGGATTAGTGGGAATCCCTGGCAAAGAGGCTTTCACCTTCCTTGGTTTAAAGTGGAGGGGCTGTGAGGCTTGGTGACACTGCAGCCCTTATCACCAGGAAAAGGAAAGATCAGAGACGGGAGCCATAGCTGGGGAGAAGCTGACTCTGTTCACGGTTACATCCCCTGAATCACACAGACCATCTGCATGGAGCTCTGCAGCTCTTGGCTGACCGAGTGTGGTGGGCAGGGGCCTAGGGACAGCTGCCTCCTGGCCACCTGAAGCCATGTTGGGAGCACAGCAGCTGCACAAGCTGCCCACTGGGGACTCAGCCCTCACCCGGAGGACCGGCAGTGCCCAGGACTGCCCTGCAGAGGTACCAGGAGGACCCTGTCTAGAGCCCAGAACAGACACGTGTGAGGACAGAGGCCAGAGCTGTGATGCCAGGGATGGGGTCAGCTGGCAACACAGCAGCGCACAGCCCAGCCTGCCAGATGCCCTGTGCTGGCGACAGAGGCAGCTGATGACACAGCAAAGTCGCTGTGTTCCCCTAACTTGCACAACCAGGTCCCTGGGGAAAGATAACCGGGTGCAGCAGCTTTTTCCTGCCATTCCAGTAGACCAGAAAACGTGAGGCCAGGCTGTTGGGGCTTTGCCTAGAAGTCCCCAGAACCCCATGCGCTCATAGGCAGGGTTCTGGAAGGCGATTGGATCCTGGGGATGACAGCTGGACACCCAAAAGGGCATCCATCACTGGGGCATGGCCTGGAAGGTGCCTCTCCTTCCCAGCTCTTCCCTTCTCTCTGCTTCCATCCTCCATGCCCTGAGCAGCTCTGCTCCACCAGCCCCCTCTGCCACAATGCCCTGCCCTGGAGACAGCAGACCATGGACCACACTGCGAGCCTAAACCTCTCCTCCCTTTGTGGGTGTTGGGCATGGTGTTCCAGGGATAAGAAAGTGACTAGAGCCCAAGCACAGGCCCTCGAGCAGGCTGTTGTACCAGCACACTCGACTCCAGCATCTCTACACAGCCTTGGGCTGTTGCTGTAGTCCCAGGAGCTCCCAGCCCATTCTGGAGGGAAAGCAGCCGGGTGAGCAGTATTCCCTCTAGCACACCACTGGGATGCATCCCAACTTCTGAGTAAGTCTGACCTCTCCCTGGCACCCTGACCTCAGCTCACCGGGAACATGGCTCTATCTGGCATTGGGCCCCACTGGGCTCCTGCTCAGCCCTCTGTTGCCCAGCACCATCAGGCGGGCGCGAGGACCCTGGCTGCAAACAGCAGGAACAGCAGAACCTGGCAGGGTCTTCTTGGAGCTGGTGGCCGCCTGCATTTTCCTGTCACCCCTGCTGCACAAGGCAGGAAGGGACAAAGAAAGTGTGTGGCATGTGCAGGGTTCCCCTTCAAAGGAAGGAAATCCTGCACCCCACATAACCCAGACCGGGTGGTCTGTGAGGGAAGGGACTGGGCACAGGGAGCCACACCTAAAAGCGGAGGGCAGGGCCAGACGGGGCAGAGACACTGGTCATGGACAGTGCTGCCTTCTGGTTCCCAAATTCAGAGGAGAAGGCGGAGAGCAGTGGACAGCCACCGCTCACAGATCCTCATCACAGAGGAAACACCCAGCACAGCCACAACAGCCGGGGGCTGCAACGCCACCTCTCAGACTTGCCAGTGTCCCGTGCAGGGATGTGTGTGAGCAGGATTACCACACTGGACCTCACACATCTGCACAATTATGGGTCAGCTGCAATTTTTAGAAATTAAAAATAGTAATAATGCTATGCTGTACAGAGATTTACTAAGAGGAAGGGGGAAGAGGTTGTCTTTAGACCCATTTCCCATCCCACTTAGGAAAAAATTACAGCTCTTTTAATTTTCAGTGATGGAGAATTAATATATTTTGTAAATACAAATATGACTACTAAACACAGACAGTGAAAGTGAGACACTCTGTGGCAAACTGTGGGGGCAAGGTAAAGACTGCAGTCTGAGTTGTCACAGAGTAAATGCCACGGCCACAACCAAGCATCCTCAGGGGAAACGGGCCTTAATCAGTGTCCCTCTTCCCAGCTCGACCTCCGCAGACCCCCAGGAAAACGCCCGCCCACCTGGTCTGCCACAGCCTGTGTCTGGACGCCATGCACAAGGGTCCCCATGCAGTCTGGACCCTGGCTGTGCTGCCGACTCTGTGCCCCAAATGTGGCCCATGCTGGCAGGAACTGTCCCCCAACAGAAGACGGCACCAGCTGGGCCTCCACAGTGCGCACGTGTGGCTTTCCCTCTCGTAGTGGGATCTGGGTGCCTACACCCCATAAAGCATGGCTCAGGGCCTCTGAGGGCCTCCACAGTGACACAGGGGAAGAGTACATCAGAGGCTGCGCCCCACTTCCTATCCACGACTCCCCTCCACTCCAAATAAGGGTGAGCACAGACACCTTCATCCTCTTCCACCCTGGTGCCCACTCATTCTCCCAGCTGTGCTGGACGAAGGGCAGACTGAGGGGGTACTGGGCACTGAGCTCAGCAGCGGCTTCACAGCCGTTATAAACTGTGCCGGAACCAGCGACAAGAACCAGAAGCATGGAAACTGACTTCATGAAAATCCAGAGTAAGGTTCTGACACTCATCTTCCCTCGACTTAAAAAACAAAATCAACTCTGCAAACAGGAGGACAGGGCAGGGCCCGTGGCCCATCTCCGCCCGGCATCCCGGTTAGTGTTTCACCAGGAGCATGTGGCCAATCCATGAGGTCCAGTTCCAGGGTGCCTAGGACCGTGGCCAGAGTCCACAACACACGTGCAGGCTGCCGTGGAGCCTCTGCTCCTGCTCAGCTTCCTAAACCAAGACGGCGTGGACAAAGGTCGCCACTGTGCCTGCTGCTGCCTCTGCAGGAACAGAGGCTCCCGGACACCAGCAGGCTGGAGCAGAAGAAGGGGAAGCGCTCAAGGGAAGCACAGGCTGCTCACGGGGCAGCAGTGGACCCCAGCCAGGCCCCGGGCGTGCTCTGTGTGAGCCCTTGGGTGTCAGAGCTTATCTCCCGTGATGTGGGTCCCAGGCCAGCATGGCACCAGGGTCCGCACACGGCATGGGCTTCAGCACCCTGTGCTGTCCTTGCAGCCCGGGCCAGTCGTGGTCACGCAGCCTCTCTTCCCAGCACAGAGTCCCGGATCCTGGCCCCTCCGCTCCCGCAGGGCCAGATGAGGAGGCCTTCACTCACCCTTGCGGAGGGAGGTGGCAAGCCCGTTCATGAACTGCGGCAAAGCCTTGCCAGGGGCCACAGGGACGTCCAGCGTGGCCACCACGCCACCACTCAGCAGGTCGATCTTCCCAGCGTGCTGCCGGAACTTCTCCAGGTCCCGCGACAGCAGGCGGAACTGCTCACTCTGCGCCCGGCATTTCTCCTCCAGCTCCCGGACCCTGCACTGCGCACGGGGCGGGCAGGTCAGCAGGGAGTGGGTGGCAGGGACCCATGTGCATTTGCATACACGCTGTGCAGATGAGGGTGCGCGTGCCCAGGTGGTGTGCCCAGTGTGGCGGAAGCCCCCACCACCCAGCTCCCCAGGCAGCCTGGCTGCCGGCCACGGTGCCAAACCTCAAGTGCCAGGAAGTCCCGTAAACACTCGGCTCACAGCCAAGCACGGGGCCTGCAGTGGAGTGTGCCACCAGCTCTCGGCGGTTGGCACGCCTTGCCCAACTGCTGGGACCTGGAGCACAAGGCCCCAGCTGCCACTCAGGGGCTGCTCAGCTGCTAACCTAGCCGTGCACCGTCTCCCTGGGTGCCTGTTCCGGGACCCCAGAACCACAAAGAACACAAGGGAATGTCCACTGCTGGGCTAGGTCAGCAATGCGGCCACCATCCACAGATGGCACAGACATTGCAGAAGCCCCCGGAAGGGTGAGTCTCCCTCAGGGACACACAGGCCAGGCCAAGGGCCCCCAGTGAGCTCCCTCCTCAGGCGGGACAGGCCTGGCTCAGTGTTCAGCCATGGGACAGATGTCTCCCATCCTCACCGGCTTTCTTCTAAACTGCTCTCCTGGCCCCTTGTCACAAAGGAGCCTTGGGGCAGGTACCGGGGTTCCTCCACCTCATCCATTCTGCACCCTTATTTCAGCTCCCTGACCACTTCCTGTCTACAGGTGGACCTCGGGCCCACACACGCCTGTGCTCACTGGTTCAGGGACCAGGCCTCTGCACCCTGCAGTGACTGTCCACACTGAGCACCACCTCCCAAACCAAGAGAGAGAGAGAGAGAGAGGAGGAGGGCTGGCTGGTGGCGTCTGTAGCCAGGCCATCCCATTGCTGTCCCCATGCTCAGGTGGCCAGAGCAAATGCCCCAGGCTGTCCTGGGTCCCTCCTGCGGCCTGGCTCCCTGCTCGGCACCAGGGCCAAGAGGGCAGGTTTACCTCTCCCGGCTTCCTGTGTCAATCCGGCACCTGGCACAGGTGTTGGTACAATGCAGCACAGGGGTCAGTGTGGGAATGGGGTCTGAGGGCCCCGGCCATGCCCCACAGACGAGGACTCAGCCATAGGGCACCCTCCTCCCCATCTTCCTCCTCTTCCTCTTCTTCCTCCTCCTCCTCTTCTTCCTCTTCACCCTCCTCTTCTTCTTCCTCTTCTTCCTCCTCCCCATTCCCATTAAATATTTCAGCTCTGATGTCTAGAAAGAATCCCTATTTACATCTGAGATCATGGACTCCTAAAAATAAACCTGACAGATCCCAAGACTATAATTAATTTCCTCGATTCATTTTACTTTTTTTTTATACTAGGGATTGAACCCGGGACCTTGCGCTTGTGCGGCAGGCAGTAGAACCACTGAGCTAAATCCCTGGCCCTTCAATTCATTTTAAGTTAGCAGGATTCTTGTTTTAAAGAGTTGAATGGGTCTGGCCCAGAAAGCACTCTCCACAAGGTGCTCCAGGCACAGGGCTCAGGCCCTGCTCAGCCCTGGAGATGGTGTCAGGGCTCCCCAAGGGCAGCCAGGGGCCCAGGCTAGAGCAACCCTGACACAGGGTGGGCTGGAGGACAGCGGTGCGCCCAGGACTCACTCGTTACCTAAAGGGCCACAGGTGTGCCACCAGGAAGGACCCAGGTTTGGGGGGCAGAAGACAGGTCAGAGGTCCCGTGCCGGTCTGGTGTGCACAGGAAGTGCCCCAGGAATCCACTTTCTGGTGCCCGATGCCTGTGAGAGAGGCTGACCGAGAGTGACTTGGGCGCTTGTCTAACATTTCCGCAGTGATAAAACCACAGCCACAGAAGACACAGCAGTGGCCATGGGGTTTGGGCTGAGAGGTGCAATCACCAGGGTATCACTGGGCAATGAGTCCTCTGTACACCAGACCATAGCAGGGTCAGAACGGAGCTCACAAATGTGGCCAGTGATCCCTGGGCTGAACGCTGCCCATCCTTGGAAGTGCAAGGTTGTTTTTGTGGGTCTTTGTGAGTCTAAAGTCATTTCAAAATAAAAAGGATTGAAGAGTAAAATGAATTTTAAACTACAAATCGATGGCACGGTGCTGTGCAGATATGGAGGAATTCAGTAGGCCAGTGTGTGGCCGCTGGACTCAGCCCCAGAGAAAGGTGCTGGTAAGACCCTGTGCACTGGCTGCATGGTCCAGATGTCTTGCTTGGGCCTCTGAGGCCTGGAGCAGGTGGCCCATGCGTGTTCAGGGGCCACAGTGGGTGAAGGTGAGCAAACTTGTCACGGCCAGTGGTGATGGCAGTGTAGCTGGCCAGAGCTGAGCCTGTAGCACAGTAGCCTGAGCAGGGGATGGCAGAGGAGCCATCAGAGCTGCACCACAAAGGGCCTGCTCTTGGGAGTTGTGGGATCTCACCTCAGAGAGACAGAGAACCCATGCAGGCCTGAGCTGGGAGAGAGGGAGCTGCCAAAAGCAATACCTGGGCTCCACGGATGCAGGGCACCATGGAGCCGGCCCATTACAACTCCTGTCTAGATGCCCCACCCCGAAGCCTCACACATTATAAGTGGGGCTTTTCAGAACTTTCTGGATCTAGGGTATGATGCTGGGATTAAGGGTGTGTGGTACCAAATTAGTCCATGGATCAGATGGGTTTGGGTAATGGGAAGCCCTACCTGGGTGTGTGGGCCATCACCCAGAAGGCTTCTGTCCCGGATGGGATAGAGGAAAAGGCAGGCTCACTGCTGCTGCTGCTGCTGCTGCTGCTGCCTCCTGCCTGTCCTGCCATGGACTGTTTCTCCTCTGCGATGCCCCTCTGCCAGGTCACCCTACCTTGGAGCCAGTCAACTATGGACTGAAGCCTCTACAATAAGCTGAAATAAACCTTCCCTCCTTTAAGCTGTGGTTAACGTGTGTTTTGTCCCAGCAACCAGAAAAGTAAAAGCAACTAAGGCACAGCCAGAGGCCAAGGCCCCCAAGTTCCCATGGTGCAAGTGTTTACACTCAAGCCTGTGACCAGAAGTCCTGCAGCATCCAGAATCTTCTTCCATTGTGGTGGAAGCTGGGTCCCCTAAGCAGTGGGCACTCTTGAAGGGTGAGGCCAGGACGGAGGTGAGCAACCTGAGGACAGGGTGGGATGGCGGAGGTGCCTGATGTGTGTAGTATACCCCACGGGGCTGTCACTGCTATCCACCCAAAGCACACTAGCTCATCTTGCTGAGAGCATGAGATGACCTTGGCAGTGAGTGGATCCTGCAAGGAGCTGGGTCCTACACAGGGCAGGTCTGCGCCACCTTCCCTTTCACAACCAGGTCTCTGGAGAAGCAAGGAGTCTTGGTTTCCATGGAAAATCTCTCATTCCAATGCTGGCCAGGGCTTCAGGCACTCCTGCTCAGCCTGGCTATATCTAGAGATGGCTGGGCCCCCTGAAGGTCCTGTGAGCCCTCCTGGAGTACTGGGGCCTGGGAATCTGTCATTCACTGTGCACGATGGAGCCACACAGCCCACAGAGGTGAACACTGACTTCCAGCATGGTGGCCCAGGGTGTTGGCATGGCTCAGGGAGGGTTCTGATGCCCTCAGGTGAGACAGTGTGGGCTGCTTGGCGTCTTCGGGATGAGCAGGTGTTCAGTGGAGGTAAAAGTATCCAGACCTGCAAGCAGGCTCACAGACCTGCCCACGCCTGGGCCCTGGCCACTGACCTGACTGTCCGTGGGTCGCTGGCAGGTCGCCTGCTTCCTTCCAGGCACTGGGGCAGTGCAGACTCTCCCTGGCCTGGCAGGTACCTTGTATATAACTTCTTCTGGAGTCTGGGGTGGGGGTAAGCGGCCAGGTGTGCGGTCACCTGGGTGTGTCCATGGCTTGAAGTGGCCACCTGCAGGTGGGGAGGGGCAGGTCCTGGAGCTGCAAGGCAGTGATGGCCCCGGCAGGCACACACGATACCGCCCTCAGGCAGAGGCTGTAACTGGGACACGCCTTCCCCGCAGGCTTCGGGCCCAAGCAGAGGCCCCAACATAGGTGCAGATATGGGCAAGGTGATGGCTGGAGACTGACACTTGCTGCAGGGGTGGTATCGGGAGAGGTGGCACAAAAAACCATGGGCCTAGAGGACCAGCCAGGGAGGTGCACGGATGCTCCAGGCAGGGGTGAGGAGCAAACTGGCTTGGGTGGGAGACGCCATCTGAGCCTGAGTGCTGACCGTCCTTCACAAGCACCATGGTCCCGGGCGCAGCTGCCCGTGGGACTCCTCAGCACCCCAAATCCTACTGTAGGTCCACAGGCCAGCACCCTGCTGTCCCTCACAGTGAAATGTGCAGCAGCAGAACTGCATCTGTGGCTTTAGGGTCGCACCTGATCATGGCCATCCAGCCCCAGGTGCACAGATTTCCTGACACCTGTGATGAGGGCTATGCGGGGAGCCCTGACTCCCCTCACTGCAGGGCGGGGCCTGAGCTCTGAGCACCTCAAATACTGGAGGACAAGAGGCTCGGCCTCCTCCTTCCGGATCCCTCCCGAGACACCATGACAAGGTGTCTGCCAGGCCATGGGAGGGCCACAGGAGTCCTCATGCTCCAAGCCCCGTCCTGGTCAGGGTCCCCTGCTCTTGGACTTGGTCTACACCTCCATGTCCTCCATTAATTAAACTCCTGAGACCTCTGCCTTGCTGAGACCCTGCTAGCCTGGTGCTGGAGTCCCCGCCTACAGCACCCCAACCCCTCCCTTGTCAGAGGGTGGAGCCAGACCTGGCCCTGGGTCCTTCCCATCCTGAGGGGGCCTCAGGACTTCCCATGGGAAGTTGGAAGTCATCTCCCCAACACTGGGACCTGTCCTGCTCCCAGCCAGGCATTCATTCCCATCCCTGTCTCTGGGTCAGCACTTCCAGGTTTGGAATGGGATTGGGGTTCAGCTACTAAGGCCTGAGTGTCACAGAGATGCTCCACCCATACCCCTCCTTCCCTAGGGCCCTACACCAGCTGCCTGTGTCCACTCTGCCCATGGAAGGAGCTCACTGTGGGCCAGCAGGAGGGGGTGCACAGGGGTCTCTGTGAACTCAGTGATGCTGCCACCCAGAGAGAGACTTTCTCTTTCTGGTCATCTGGGTTCACAGGACCGGCCTGGCAGCAACAGTGAGGGCAAAAGTGGGAAACCACGCACACTAGGCTGGCTCGGTGTTCCAGGGAGCGCTGGGCACAGAAACACCGGCCCGGGGATCCAGGCGAAGACCCAGACACCCCACGTCAGAAAGCAGCAGGGATCAGAGCTCCAGGAGCCCAGGCGGTGACAGCGTTGCCATGCGGGAGAGCACAACCAGGCACCCAGCACTCGGAGTACCTGCATGCTGTCCAGGGTGCTCTGGGTGCACAAGCAGGGCACAGCACAGGAAGAGGCGGTGAGCAGAGGGCTCCCAGAACTGCACAGCTTTCTCAGGGTTGCCACCAGGACCGTGGTTCAGATGCCCACTGACAGCTCGGGGACCGGCCACAGAGGCCACAAAAGGACCCAGGGCACCAGGTTGGGGCTCCGGGATGATAGGAGGGAAGGAGCTCCATCCCCACTCAGGACAGTGGCGTCTGGTCAGGGGAGCTGAGTCCCTAATGAGCACGGCAGGCAGGGGCCCAGGTCCTCCACCTCTGCCCAGTGTGGCCCCAGGGGCCTGTGAGCAGGCAGTGCTTTCGGAACCAGGACTCTCCTGAGGAGATCTGACCCCACAAGGCCTCACTGGGGAGGACTCTGCATCCTGGGGTGGCCCTGCCCCTGGGGATGGAGACAGGACAGGCCACCCAAGAGGGCAGCCAGGCCCCATCTAGACAGCTTGGCCTTCTCCAGGGAGCTGCAGGGGCTGCACTGGGCAGCGTGCTGGGCTCCACCCTTGGGGTCACTCCTGCCTGACCTCCACCCTGGGTTGGGGGTGGAACTGGTACATATGGGGTGCAGGGGCAGAGCCTGGGGTGACCTAAGAGGTCAGCTGCTCGGCCTGCTTGCAATCCTGAAGGAGGCTAGCTGGGGACGGACAGCAGGGACGGGACTGGCCGCTCTCAAGCACCACCCTCAGGAGGGACAAGGCAGCTGCTGCCTTTCAAGCCACACCACTGGGGCCACTGAGGATGGCTCGGGATGCCCCGGACATGCAGGTGGCATTGCCACCAGGTCCTAGGCCCGCCCTCCTCTGACCTGCATCTCCTGGGCTCAGTGCCACACCTGGCCATGTATCCCCAGCGATCTGCGAGGAGACAGAACACCCACAGGGCGGGCCAACCCGGGCCAGCGACGACCAGGCCCACACGATGCTGGCTGACCACTGTGCAGCCATGGGCCTGTGCCTCAGTCTCCTCTCCGATAAAGATGGAAACTGACCCAGGCTCCTGTGAGAGAAGTGCCAGCACAGGTGCCAGGGAGCGCAGACACCTGGCCGAGGTGCCCAGCTCCACCCTCACCTGCCCGCCAGGAGAAGGGGCACCACTCACCTCTAGCAGCTGCACAGCCCCCTCATGCTCCTTCTTTGCTTCAACCTGAGCCTGTGGGTGATAGAGACAAAAGAGAGCATCAGGGGCACAGCAACGTGTGGGTTCCACCCCCTTCCTGGGGCCCCAAGGTCTGCACTGGGTCCCTGAGGTGAGATGGACATGCAGGGGATGGCACTTTGGGGGGCTCCTGGCCCTGCTTCTGAGGAGGGTTCCAGAGTCCTCACAGACAGGTGCTGGCTGAACCCAGAGCAGCAGGCAGATTCCGCAAGGGCCTTAGGCAGCACTGCCACCCTCACTGTGGGGAAGCAAGACACGGGCCTGCAACTCCAGCCCCAGACCCCAGATGCACAGAGGCCTAGCCTGGAGGCCTCACCCCTCTAGCCAGTAACCAAGGCAACCTGCAACAGCAGGCTGGAGGCAGAACCATCTGCTGCCCAGAGGGGAAATCTCACAAGCTTCCACTGCCTGGACAGAGCACAAAGTGTGCAAAACTGAAACTCAGCAGCACGATGGCTCCCTGTGCTCCGGACCCCACCCAGGACCTGGGTAGGCACTGGCACTGCCAGAGGTCCTCGCTTGCACAGAGTGAGAGAGGGAAGTCCCTCTCCCTCCAGACTCAGCCTGAGAGAGGCTGGCGTGGTGGCAGCCGTGGGGCGGCCTTGTGTCACCATGAGGGGCAGGGCTGGGTCAGCTGGCGTCCTCCTCAAGAAAGCAGCCAACCCAGGGGAAGGCAGAGAGAAATGGCTTCTGTTGGCATCGGGACTTAGCCAAGGGTGAAGCCAGCTGGCAAGGGCACTGGGCCCAGCCCCATCTCAAGTAGCATTTCCAGTTGTGTGTGCCAACAAAATTTCCTTTTGGGGCTTTTTGTCACTTGGAAACAAGAGCCCTAATGAGCACCAACATCCACAGCTAAGAGTGAGCTAACAGTGAACCCCAGGGGAACAGAAGACAACACCACACTGTGTACCCAGCCCACCGGGGGAGAGCACTGTTCCCCTTGCTTGCTGGATGCAGCTGCCTCCTAACGCCCAGCACAGAAAAAGCAGCTGTTTGCAGTCTGGGCTGCAGGACACGGAGGGGGCTGCTCAGGTCCCAGCTGAGTGAGTGACCTACACCAGCGAGGTGACAATAAATAACAAACCAGAAAGAAAGGGAAGGAAAGCAGCGGAACACATGGCGAGGATATAAATCCCACACTGCCAGGAGCTGTCTGATCAGTCTGTAAGGGCAGAGCTAAAGCAGTGCACGGGCCAGGAGGCTGTGCCAGGCTGGCAGCGGCAGCGGCTCCTGGCGAGCATCGGAGTGGTGTCGTGGGCGGGCCGCTCTGGGCCCCCGGGCGTCAGGCGGAGCACTGTTAGATCTCACAGCTCCAGTGGCAGCCCTGCGTTTTGCGAAATCGTAGCCAGCACCAGCGAGGCTCATTTCAGGAGCCTCCTGGGGACTCACACTCTTATGCACTCAGGGCTGTGGAGCTCGTGAGGGGAGTCGTTGCCACAGCCACCACATCCTCCTGATGCCAGAGAATCGGCCAGTCACTGAAGGGCCAAGGGCGGGGTGGGGCAGGGGCTGAGCCCGGGGCCAGACCGCAGGAGACCAGCATGTAGCAGGGCAACGGTCCCCAGCCCCGGGTCACGCAGCAGGGGTGCCAGCACCGAGTTCGGCTGGGTGACGGCAGAGGGGCAGGATGGAGCTCCGAGGGCCAGCCAATAGCAAAACCATGGGCCACTTGCACTGCAACGTGGTACTGGGCAGGGTGGGAAACTGGGAAACACACTGTCACCCCGGGGCAAGAGGAGCACAACAGGGAGGACTGGAATGGGCAGAGGGACCATGGGCTCCCACCCCCACCCTGCAGATCCAAAACTGCCTCCCGGAAGCACCCAGCAGCAGTGGGCCTGGTCAGGCCCTGGGTGTAGCTCCTCTAAGCACCCCACTGCCTTGAAACAGAGTGGCAGCTCGCAGGCAGGAAGGGACCCCATGGCCACGTGGCCCTGGCGGGGACTGAGTGTGGGGACCTGGAGCCCACAGTTAGCCCGGGAAGGAGTGATTGCTCCCCAGCTCCAGGGTCTGAAGCCATGGGGGTCTGGCATTGGGATCTCTTGGGGCACTGGGACCACGCACTGTGTCTGAAGTGGGAGCCGCCTGCTGGCGCTGCCTCTCCCCTGCTCATGACCTGGGCAGGCCCTGCCCTGGACGCAGCTGCTCCTCCTGGTCCCGACACAGGGGACACACAGGGAAGCACTGCTGGCGTGACTCGGTGAGGACGAGTGACTTCTTCTGCCTGGGACCCAGGCAGACCCCATGCAGAGGGCACATCAGCAACACAGGAAGCCAGAGTTGCTGCTGTGTGGTGAGGTGAGGGGGGCAAAGAGGGGCACAGTTGGTGGGGCCGGGTAAAGTAGGCAGTGTCCGGTGCTGCCCAGCACTGCAGGACCAGCAGGGCTGTGGGTGCCACCTCCAGGACCCCATCCCCAAGAGGCCCCCTGCTGCCACAGCCCAGCCCACCCCTGCCTCGGTCTCTCTTTGGGGCGAGGGGCACTTTCCTCTGCAGTGCCCCCTGCTTCTGCTGGGCACACGGGCAGCAGGGCATGCCGAGTTGCAGGGGTCCCCGATATTGGGGGCCAGGGTGGCCACTTCAGAGGGGAGGTGGACCCCAGAGTGGAGCCAGGAGGTGAGTGAAAGACCCTGCAGGAGGGCCAGGGGCCCCAGGGGGCTTTGGGAACTGGGACCTTCTGGAGAAAGAAGTAGACCCTGCTGCACAGAAGGGAAACCTGTCATGTGCACATCTTGGGGGTGGCAGTGGACTAAGAGGGTATAAGCCCATCTCTGGGGGCTGAGGGCTGAGGGGTGGGGTACCAGGCAGAGCCAGACTACAGAGGGCAGATGGGGCAGCTCTGGGCCAGCTCCACCTCGGAGCCACCTCTGGACCTGATCAGTACCACTGAGGATTTGTACCATGGTGGGGGACAGACATCCTTGGGCCAGTCACTGTCCTATTACTATGGAGGCTTCCCAAGCCAGGGGTCCAGCTCCAGCTCTGAAATGTGGTCCTAGCTCCAGGCCCTGCCCCAAACACAGGGTACTGTCCTCTGTCAGACACACCGAGCACCCCTGCAAGGACTCCAGCTACCGCACGTGGCGTCTCCTCCTCAGTTTGGTCTCCCTCCTGTCCGAGTCGCCCACCAGCACCTCCCTGATCTGTTCATCCCATCTCCATCCCCTCTGGGGCTTCCCTAGTCCTCCGTCCCCTTATCTACTTCTCTTCCACTCGAGGCTATGGCCCAGGCTCCAAGTGGCCAGTGGGGCAGGTCGCTGATGCCCAGGAGCAAGTATTCCAGTAGCAGATGTGGCCGTCCCTGTCCAGAGCATCACCAGGTGGGAGTCCAGGGAGGAGTCCAGCCCACCTTGAGTGGTGCTCAACTCTCTCCAAAACCTTTTGCAAAGCCGGTTTCTAGGAGGTGGCTGAGAAG